TGAAGAATAACTTGGTTCTTCTTCCTCTTCTAACTCTGAAGAATAACTTGGTTCTTCTTCCTCTTCTGACTCTGAAGAATAACTTGGTTCTTCTTCCTCTTCTAACTCTGAAGAATAACTTGTTCTTCCTCTTCTGACTCTGAAGAAATTATCCCTTCAGAAAATCTTGGTTCTTCTTCCTCTTCTGATTCTGAAGAAATTATCCCTTCAGAATATCTTGGTTCTTCTTCCTCTCTACTCTGAGAATAACTCTTCCTCTTCTAACTCTGAAGAATAACTTGGTTCTTCTTCCTCTTCTACTCTGAGAATAACTCTGAAGAATAACTTGGTTCTTCTTCCTCTTCTGACTCTGAAGAAATCCCTTCAGAATAGCTTGGTTCTTCCTCTTCTAACTCTGAAGAATAACTTGGTTCTTCTTCTAACTCTGAAGAATAACTTGGTTCTTCTTCCTCTTCTCTGAAAATCCCTTCAGAATAACTTGGTTCTTCTTCCTCTTCTAACTCTGAAGAATAACTTGGTTCTTCTTCCTCTTCTAACTCTGAAGAATAACTTGGTTCTTCTTCCTCTTCTAACTCTGAAGAATTTATCCCTTCCTCAGAATCCCTTAGTTCTCCTTCTTCTTCTCCAGAAATTCTTAGTTCTTCTTCTTCTTCTTCTTCTCCTTCTTCCGAATAGTCCTCTTTTGAATTTCCTTCTACTTCTGAATATTCTGAGTGGACGACAGAGTGAAATTAAGGGATATTAAGGGATATTAAGGGATATGGGACACGGGTGGCTTGGAAAAGAGAGGAGGAGCTAGTTAATTCTAGCCCACATACCCTTTATAAAGACAAGTATACATAGATGTATACATATATGCATAAACACACACATGTATGCATGTATAGAGAGAGATGGGAGAGAGGGAGATGGAAGAGAGAGAGAGAGATGGAGAGAGAGAGGAGATGGAAGAGAGAGAGAGATATGGAAGATAGAGAGAGATATGGAAGAGAGAGAGGGAGATGGAAGAGAGAGAGATGGAAATTCATGTCTCTCATTTTATTTCTTTCTCGACTTGATTCTCATATATTGAGAGAGAGAGAAGAAAGAGAGAGAGAGAGAGAGAGAGAGAGAGAGAGAGAGAGAGAGAGAGAGAGAGAGAGAGAGAGAGAGAGAGAGAGAGAGAGAGAGAGAGAGAGAGGAGAGAGAGAGAGAGACAGATATATACCATACATATGCATACATCATATATACACACATAAACACACACACACACACACACACACACACACACACACACACACACACACACACACACACACACATACATATATATTATATATATATAATATATATATATATATATATATTATATATATATATATATATATATGTCGTCATACTTGATGACGTATTCAATGATCATGATCGTGTCGCATGAACTTGAAGTCGTCATTCACCTGTCTGCATGATCCTTGCATGATTCGAGACTCTTTTATTATCATCTTTATCATCTTTTCTGTATGACCCTTGTGCATGGCCGGTCTGCGTGGCTCTGTGAGTTATCAAGACCTTTTAATCTCTCTCTCTCTTCTTCTCTGTCTGTCTGTCTGCTCTCTTCATTTTTTTTTTTTTTTTACTCATATAATAATTTTTATATTTTTTTCATTTTTTCCCTTTCATGTCTCTTCCTTTTTTTATTTTTATGATTGTCCTAATTATCGTCTTTTTCTGCCTTTTTATTTATTTGTCTTTTTTTCTTTTTCTTTTTTTTATTCTATTTATTATCTTTATCATCTACTATTATTCTTTATGATTTATTACTTTCTTCCTTTAATTCATACGATTATCGTTTTTTTTTTTTTTTTTTTTTTATGTTCTAATCATTATTATTTTTCAGCCTTTATGACATTACTTTTTTTTTTCCTTTTTTATTTTTCTTCATCATCGTTTCTTTTTTCTTTTCCTGCCTTTATGACATCACTTTCTATCCTGTGATATTTCATTGTTTTTTCCCTAATTCCTACGATTATCATTGCAATTTTTACTTTTTTATTTCTTATTTCGACGCGCCTCATTTATTTCTCTCTGTCTCTTTATCTCTCTATCACTGTGGTATGTATGTGTGTGTGTGTGTGTGTGTGTGTGTGTGTGTGTGTGTGTGTGTGTGTGTGTGTGTGGTGTGTGTGTGTGTGTGTGTGTGTGTGTGTGTGTGTGTGTGTGTGGTGTGTGTGTGTGTGTGTGTGTGTGTGTGTGTGTGTGTGTGTGTGCTTGTGTCTCTCTCTCTCTCTCTCTCTCTTCTCTCTCTCTCTCTCTCTCTCTCTCTCTCTCTCGTATATATATATATATATATATATATATATATATATTATATATATATATATATACATCTACACATACAATAACAACAGCGGCTGGGCCAGGTTGATGTAACACTATATCATCATATGTAAAATAAAAGAGGCATGCTATACAAATGGTGGTTTATTTAATTTACAGATTTATTTTGTTTCTCAGACTGTCAGCTTTCATCCAAGTCTTCATCAAGTGCTTTTCTGCGTCGAATTGGCGCTTAGGAGATTCTACGACCTTCATCACTGCCTTCATCATTCATCCTCTTAATTATTGTCAAAATCTTCTCGAGTTTCTCGTTCTTATCATCTCCAAAATGTCATCTCCAAGTTCCTCCAGTGAATCTTCAGTGTTGGTTGTTACGAAGTTGGTGTCATAGTCCATTAAAATCATCTTAATTGCTTCTTCTTCTTCCAGGAATAATAATCATTCCGTGCTCCACCTCTCCTTCAGAGAAGTCAGGTGGTGTCGGTGTTGTTTCTAGGTTCACCTCTCCTACTGTGATGATTTTGTCTAGAAACAACTCTTTATACACAACATTGTGGTTTTATCACCGTTTTCCTTAGAGAATTCCAGTTTGTCACTCTTTTTCTTTCTCACTCTCTTTGTCTTGCTGTCTCTTTCTCTTTGTCTTGCTGTCTCTTTCTCTTTCTTTTTTCCACACTCTCTCTCACTCTCTCTCCTCTGTCTCTCCTCTCCTTTCTCTCTCTCTCTCTCTCATATAATATCATTTATATATATATATATATATATATACTATATATATATATATATATATATATATATATATATATATTATATATTATACTACATACATACACATATTTATATATTCTATCTCACTATATACTATCTTGTATAAAACAGTTAATTTTGTCCTGTTTTGTGTTGTTACTTTTTTTCATTATCAAACTCATAAAGTAACAACTGCCAACACCTTATCTCCTTGGAACATCCTCTTCGTTATACCCTTGGTAGATGTTAGCCACTTCCAAAGGTGCCTCTGTCTACACTTCTTCGCGACTTCATCTTCAGGCATCGTAGCGGTAGTATTGTCAATATTGTTGCTTGAAACCTTTCATTATAAAACACTATTTTCATTTTCTACCTACCTTTACAGGTGTGTCCTCAAAACACCGTCATCACTGTGGTCTCTTCAGAACCATTTTGAATATTTTGAAAGGGTTATATTTTTATTTATATATATGAACATTTTGAAAGGGTTATATTTTTATAAATGTGTGTAACTGTGTGTGTGTGTGTGTTTATAATAACGTCAATGCTAGTTGATTTGTCTTGCATTTATCGAAGAAAGATGGTTTTATCCTCAAAATTGTCATGACATCCTTTCATCATAAAACACCATTTTCACTCTCTAGATGAGGTCATTTTTGAAACATTTTGAAAATTTCTAAAATTTTGAAACGTTTGAACATTCTGAAAGGGTTATATTTTTATTGATTCATATATTATTGATTTTCATTCTCTGAACATCTTTATTGGGGTGTCCCCAAAACACAGTAACCCCATATATATAATATACATATATATATATATATATATATATATATATATATATATATATATATATATATAATATATATATATATATATATATATATATATATATATATATATATATATATATATATATTTATATATATATATATATATATTTATATATATATATATATATATATATATATATATATATATATATATATATATATATATATATATATATATATATATATATATATATATATATATATATATATATATATATAATATATATATTATATTATATATAATATATATATATATATTATATATATATATATATATATATATATATATATATATATATATATATATATATATATATATATATATATATATATATATATATATATATATATATATATATATATATATATATATATATATAATATATATAATATATATATATATATATATTATATATATATATATATATATATATATATATATATATATATATATATATATAAATATATGTATATATATATATATATATATATATATATATATATATATATATATATAATATATATATATATATATTATATATATAATATATATATATTATATATATATTATATATATATATATATATATATATATATATATATATATATATATATATATATATATATATATATATATATATATATATATATATATTATATATATATATATATATATCATATATATTAGTTGCATAGAATTGTATCAAATTATTTTCTTAATAAGCAGAAGTTACAAACCCAATATACTGTTACAATCATGTGATGTTAAGTTGGCAGCATTATACCATATCCAGTACATAAAAATGTCCTTTCTGATTACATATTCTGTACTCTTTTATTTCAAAAAGTATGAAATAAATTATATACATATATTCACACTGCAAAAAGACTGCAATTCAGACATTATTGGAACAGTTTATCTATCAGCTAGGAAGTATAATTCTAAAATATTTTTTTAAATATTTAAGGGGAAAATATTGTCTGTAATCATACTTGAAAAAAATATTCTCGACTGTATCTCAACAATTTATAGAATATTATTCTTTGTATATTTAATTTCACAATATCTAAATATCTGCAAAGAAATATATTTCCATGGAA